GACTTTCTTTTTGGGCACAAAAGGAAGTTCCCGAGTGAGATTTTACCATAAAGACTTGGTATGAGGTTTGGGGTTCACGGTAGGTTATATTCAGGTTATATTCAGGAGGTGAATGTAACGTAATGGCCTCGCTGTGTTTCTGAGCTCAGCTGCTGGAACCAAACAGAATAGATCCGGAGCAGATTAGAATAAATTAGAATGACATAAAATAGAGCCAAACGCAGAACTAAAATAGAATAACACCACACTAAAGAGGAATAAAAAGGAGACAAAACTGAAGATTAGCATTTAATTAATAATAGAAGTAATTCACTTCACAGGCAATATGAGTATCTTCCCGAGTTTTCCCCTCTTTCGGGTGGAGCGTCAGATTCAATAAGAGGGTTTGATTAAATGCTGTTCAAGCCTGTACCTGGTGTCAGGTGCAGTAGATGATAGGAGAGTCTCACCTGTGGTAAACTGGGAATAAACAGTCAAACCACTCCATCCAGATATATCTACATGACATCATGCTTTTAGCGTGATGACATCACCGGCGGGATCTCCCGGTGGGCTGCTGAGATTGGTGCAGACTTAGCTGGACCACCTCTGCTCTCCACAGGGATTGGTCGCTGTGCTGATGAGGTAACCTCTCTCTGGCTGTGGCTTCTTTATTCATGAGTTGACAGACTGCTCAGCAGCTGTTCAGGCTGAGAGCAAGACACACCAGTGGTCAGGAGAAATCTCCTTCAGAGGTTTGCTGGACGATGATGATGAGTAAAAAAACCTGAAGGCGAGCATACTAACGTGTTCGCTGTTTAGCTCATCCCTGACATGTTTTTCTGTGGTGGAAGCTCTGCACTGTCTGATGATGATGGTGAGTACAGATGCATTATGGGAGCCTGGTGTGGGGATACTGTCTGAGGTACTCTGTGTCAGAACTCAGCAGGTTTAATTATAGAGCTTCACAACTAGTTAAAGGAAGCTTGGTTAAGCTTCTAAACATAATAGATAATGAAAAATAGTTAAAGGATGAACAGCTTGACTTTTGAAACCAGTTGGATGAATTGGTGGAGCATTTGAACCTGCTGAAGGAACCAATGAATTTGTATATTGGAAACAGCCACTGGTTGTATATTTGTATAGTTTAAATTAAATTGTTGGAGGAACTTTTGAAATCTCCTGTTGCCTCCAAAACCAGTTGATTGAACTGGAGCTTGCTAAAGGAAGCAGTCAAGGAAAACCAGTTTGCCATTTTAGTCTGGATCCATGTAGAGGACATAGTAAAGCCTCTTAAACACTTTAGGACCAGAAACTGAACCTTCTCTATTTCAATTAAAGGAACTAGTTGCTTTTTGAATGTAGGGGCAGTGAAAACATTTAAAAACAGTGATGAGAACTGGTAGAACCTCAGAACCAGTTTGTGGGACAGTTGTGGAATATATCCAGTTAGATGTACCGCCAGGTACACGGTTGATAAACTGGATATAGTTTAGAATCACTTTGAAGAACCAAAACTTTGGAGACACGTCATGATTTTTTGTGAGGTATATGTCCAGCTAGAGGTGTTTCTACAAACACCTAAAAACTTCTAAAAACAAGTCAGAAAAACCGGGCTGGTTAGTAGGTTTGAATTGGTAAGGGTCGCTTAGAGGAAAAATCTGAGCTTGGAGACCAGTTGAAGAAATTGGTTTATGTTTATACCCAATTACAGACACTAGTGGAGTCTCCAAACCAATCAAACAGACCATGTTGATGAGATGGTAGAGGTCAGATACCAATATTGAGGAAGGTCTGTAACCATTCTGTCAAAAAATCCCAACTATTTAACCAGTTTTTAGGAAAGGCTTTAAAACTAGTCAAAGGACCTGATTGATCCAGTTAGATCTGGTTAGAAACAAGTTAGAGTAAATGGTAAAGGTCTGGTACCTTCTACAAGAGGAAATGGAGATTTGGACTCAAGGTGATGATGGGGGTTTATATGCCATCAGAGCCACTGTGTCCAAACTATTGAAAAGAACCTGCCTTATGAGGCGTTACTTCTAGTTACTGGAACCAGTTAAAGTCTGGATCCAGTCTGTAATATTCTTGCATGTCTCCTTGTGTTTCAGATGAAGGGCCGTACACGAAACACTCCGCCGGGTCGCGACCTCCAGATGGAGCGCTGGCCATCAGGAGGCAGAGTATACCAGGTAACAAGCATTTTTATAATCAAAGTGTCTGAATCCACCAGCTGAGCTCATTAACACAGCTGAAAATAGAGCATGCTCAGAAACAGCTGACGTTTCCCATTTTGTGACCTGAAGAGGAAGATGCTTGCAGTCGCAGTTTATCTCCTCCCACCTGGAGCTGGTGTCCTACTTGTGATGTCTTTGTGCCACAATCAAAAATTCTGTGAGAATAAAAATTGCATCACTGATTTGGAGAGCCGTCAGACTGACGTCAGAGACAGCCTAGGGATGATATCGTAGTCATCAGAACTTCAGTTTTAGGTCTTTCCTCAGCTCTTAGTATAAGTGGGTGCCTTTGCTAGATTAGAAAGACTTTGAGGGACATAAGTGTACTGTGATTGGTCAAATGTATCAGTGCAGCATTGGTAACCGCCCTTAAAAATGAAACTAACCAATATTAGCTGATAAGCTTAGCACCCTCTTCTTCAAATATGGTCATTTCGTACTCCAAAAACACCAGAGCTCTAACACTGAAGCTTGAAAACACAGATTGTAGAAACGAGTGGGTGACATCGTAGAGGCTAAATCATCATATACAGTCTGGATTTCCTAGCCCAGATACTGCTGATGTTAAACTCTGAAATAGCGCAGCTTTAACAAAGCTGTGTTACTTTGAGGGAAACTTTGTACTGCTTCCTTCAGCGTAAAGCTAACTTTACCCCCCCACCCCCCACCCCCGCTGCTGACACCACCGCCGCTGCAGGAAACTTGTTCATCTCGGTTTTTTATCAGAGATTTGAGGGTTTTCTATTTCCGAGTGTGAGTCAGCGGTGGCGTTTTCGAAAAGTTGAAAAAGGCGCTGCTGCTTTTTTTGTAAAGCCTCTTTGGAGGAGGAAGATGAGTGAGGAGGAGACGATGATGGTCACTGCCAAAGACTGATCATCTTAATCCTGCCTGTATGAAAGAGGATGAACCTGATTAATATTAAAATACAATATTTAAATAAAATCCTACTTTCAGTTTCATTACCTGATAACTGGTCACAGCCCATCGTAGCAGGTCTGATCTGAAATACCCGCCCTTCTCTCTCTCTCTCTCTCTCTCTCTCTCTCTGTGTGTGTGTTAAATATTTCATCTGTTTGATGAAATATAGATGGATGACAGAACAGAGGATGACTTCATTTCTCCTTTTATCCAGATTATTATTTATTTTTCCATGCTTAAATAAAGAGAGTAGAAGCTGTGCAGTCAAGAAGAAGAAAAAGCAAATAGGAATAATTTTAACTGAAAGAAGAAAAGAAAAAAAATCCTTAATGGCGAGGAAGAGCATTCAGTTCATCCCATGTCCCTTTTTGCAGATGAGTTTCGGGGATGCACGGTGGTGGAGTTGATGAAGAAGGAGGGCACGACGCTCGGGCTGACAGTTTCAGGAGGAATCGACAAAGATGGGAAGCCTCGAGTTTCAAACCTGCGGCAGGGAGGCATCGCGGCCCGGTAATGTCTTCTACATCTGGTCTTTGTGTTTTTAGGACTTGAGCCAAAAAACAAAGAATCACCATTGAGACTAACTTTGGAGTTGTGCCAGGTATTTTCAGTTGTTTAAAGTGATGAGCAATCAGATATAAGATATTAAAAAGACAAAACGTGTTCTACATCACTTTGTACTTAGTGAAAACCTATAAATTACATGAATATTCCACATAGTGGGCTCCAGGGGTGGCTGTAGCCTGTAGCTCAGGTGGTAGAGTGGGTCATCTACTGATCGGAAGGTTGGTGGTTCGACCCCTGGCTTCCCCAGGGCAGCATGCCAAATATCCTTGGGCAAGATAACCCCAAATTGCTCTCCGATGCATCCATCGGAGTATGAATGTGTGTGTGAATGTTACTTAGAAAGCATTTAGAAAAATGTGCTTGTGCGAATGGGTGGATGTACAAGTTGTGTAAAGCGCTTTGAGTGCTCAGAAAGAGTAGAAAAGCGCTATATAAGAACCAGTCCATTTACCATTCTTTGACGGCTGTCAGAACAGCGGTTGGTTTGTTGGTTGTGTTCTGGAAATGCACATTGATCCAATTATACCAGTTTAGCTTTTACTTTGAAGGTGAACAGGTGAAGGTTTCTGTTTCTGTTCGGACTTTTTTAAAGTTTTACTAACGCTCAGTGGGTAGTCGATGAGTATTTGCAGACAAATCTGCATATTCCATGCAAACTGAAAGAACCCTTTTTGTGACTGAGTTTACCTAGAGACAGCCAGCAACCTCCAGCAACCCCTCTTTAACCAGCCTGACAATATATATTTTTCTCAGCCGTTACCCTCTAGGCATAGGTGACTGAGCTGCAGCAGGAGCCTGCAATGTGCGATCAACTACCAGCTACAAAGCGACAATGAGCAAAAATGACACAGAACACTTTGGATGACTATTTAATGGATATTGGTGCAGCAGTGGCAGTTATTAATGTTTAGCAGCATCCTTTCTGGAACATCCTCTTCTTAAACGAACTCATTAAGGTTTGATTAAGTAAAAATAAAGCTGATGTTTGGCTGTTTGCTCAGGAGTGACCAGCTGAACGTGGGCGACTATATCAGGTCTGTCAACGGCATCAACCTGGCCAAGTTCAGACACGATGAGATCATCAGTCTGCTGAAGAACGTGGGTGAACGGGTCGTCTTGGAGGTCGAGTACGAGCTGCCGCCTGTCTGTAAGTTCTGCCAGCAGAAGACGTGTACACTCAGCTGCACTCAGCCGGCTGCAATGTTGACGTGTTGTTGATGTTCTGGTGTGTTCCAGCGGTGCAGGGGTCAGGGGTTATGTTTAAGAACGTGGAAGTCACGCTTCACAAAGAAGGCAACAGCTTTGGTTTCGTCATCAGAGGTGAGGCGAGTTCTGTTTGTGTGTTTAGAATAAATCAAAATAAACATGGTAATGTGACCGCGTGTTTGCAGGTGGAGCTCATGAAGACAGGAACAAGTCCCGTCCCATCGTCATTACAACCATCCGGCCAGGCGGCCCAGCAGACCGGTACGTGACCTCTGACTTGTCTGTCTGATTTTTGTCCCTTGGGAGCCTTTGTACACACTAAAAACTGTCCTCTTTCTCTTTTGCTGCAGGGAAGGAACCATCAAGCCAGGTGATCGGTTGTTAAGCATTGATGGGATTCGTCTCCATGGCAGCACACTTTCAGAGGCCATGAGCATCCTGAAGCAGTGTGGACAGGAGGCCACGCTGCTGATTGAGTATGACGTCTCCGTGATGGGTCAGTCATCAGTGTCCCCTCCCAGCAGAGCTTAAAGCATTAATCAGCTAACATCAGAACTGTGCAGGAAAAGGAGAAGGTTGTGGGGATTCAAGCTGAAATCTTGCTTGTACTGGTTTTGACATTTATTGTTATTAAATTTGAGATTACATTTAATGGAAAGTTTGGGTAGAGGTAGGTTGCCAGGGGGCTTACAGATGAGAAACGATGCCAAACAGTGTGCCAGGACTGCAGCTTGAATTTGTGTCCATCCTGATATGTGGATATTAGATATAGTTTTGAGATGTTCATTGAATGACAAAAGCAATTTAAAGAACTAAGTTTGTGTTCTGCAGAACTCATTAATGTTTCTCTGTAACTAGAAAAAGAGAGGCTAAGGCATAAGAGAGTAGACCATAAGTATGTCCCAGGAAACCAGTCAGTTTAAATGAACTGTTTCAATTCTGCCAAGATGATTGGTCAAACATTTAACCCGAATTATGGCAGAAACATGGTTTTTTAGGGGCACTGTGGAGTAGAGAAAATCCAAAATAAATTCAAACTTGTGGAGCTAATTTTATTTATTTATTTATTTATTTAATATGTAATTAAAGATGTATGCTGCACAATCATTTAACCCTGGAAAAAGAACAGTTACCAATAGATACTGGAACTTCCATAACATTCATGCTCATGATTAAGTGGATATAGACTTTTGATCACAACTGTATTATGTGTATGTTCCGTCCTGTTCTTGGTTAACGTTAACATTAGGAAACAGTGCATGAGAAGTATTATTTTGTATTTATTATCTGAAACCCAAAATGTGATTTTTGGTTAAAATAAAAGATCATTTGTACTTTGTACTGTGTAGAGTAAAATGCTAAAAAATTACCAACATGTAAAGAAGAGTATCATCTGAATTATAAAGATTTCAGATGATCAGTTTATTTGGAACTTTTACATAAAATTAAACAGGACCCAGGATGGAACCCTGATAAACACCGTTTGGACTCTGTAAATTACACGATGTAAAAACTGTAAAAACTTTGTCTGTTTTCCCTCCTTCAGACTCTGTTGCCACGGCATCAGGGCCGCTGCTGGTTGAAGTTGCCAAGGCGGCAGGGTCTAGCCTGGGTGTGGCCCTGTCCACCTCCATGTTCTGCAACAAGCAGGTCATCATCATCGACAAAGTCAAACCAGCCAGTATAGCAGACAGGTATCTAACCTCTGACCCTGATGCTGTTTTACTGTTTTAACTGCATTTGTTAAACTTATTTATTGTTTTCACATATTGAGCATCATTCCAGCTGCTTTCATTTTCCCTAAAGTGGAATTTCAGCTTATTAACTAATATTAACACCGTTTTCTTATCTTATTATTTGATTCCATGTAAATTTGGTTATTTTAATCACCTTGTCATCTTTCAGCTTCATTCAGTCACACTTTAACTTCAGTATTTGTGCAGAAACTGAAATATTTTGTTGCACTTTTAACTGCAGAAATTGAACTTATGAGTTTTGGCCAGGTTCAGGTTTAAATTTTCTGTTTATTTTTGTGTTTTTGTGTAGGTGTGGTGCTCTTCATGCAGGAGATCATATCCTGTCCGTTGATGGGAAGTCGATGGAGTTTTGTTCCCTGGCTGAAGCCACTCAGCTGCTTTCTGCTTCCTGTCAGACCGTCCGCTTGGAGATCCTGCCACAACACCAGACCCGACCAGCCCTGAACGCACCACAGCATGGTATAAATGTACAAACATCACATCCGACAAGGCCCTGAATGCACCACAGACCAGTATAGACACACACACACACACACACACTCAAGAGGCCCTATAAAAGATTATGTGAAGAGAGGAGTAATCTTTTATAAAGCCGTGAAAGACACACACGTGTGTATGCATGACAGTTCCTCATCTGGCTTCCCAGTGAGGTATCTCGATGCTGTGATCCAAGCACCTGCCTGACCTTTGACCTTTCCTCTTGTCTTAACCTAAACACCCTCCTCTGTGTGTGTCTGTGCAGTCAAGGTGCAGCGTAGTCCCCGCCCCCTCCCTTGGGAGACCGGAGGCTCTGCCCCTATCCTCCCCCCCTACCACTACAACACGTACCACCCTGACCAATCAGGCGCCAGATCGCACAACCGCCATACAAACAATCCTCGTACGTGCACCTCTCTCGCTCTCTCTCATGTTTTCTGTTGAGAGAGAGAGACCTTTCCTCATCAGCCCTCTCTCTTTCTGCAGCGCTCAGCCACTCCTTCTCTCCAGGCTCCATGTCGGCCTATAGCCTCTCCTCCCTCAACATGAGCACCCTGCCCAGGAACATGTATCCCACAAGTCCACGGGGCACACTGATGAGGAGGAAGGGCAAGAAAAAGGACTTTAAGAGCTCCTGTGAGTTTGTCTCCAAATCCAACAAATCTTATTATTTTATTAGCTGTTTTTAGACATGAATTCATAACATGACCAATAATGACCAACAAAATGTAAAAAAACATTACAACCCTCTAAACCATGACATTTTAATATGAGCTTGCAGAAACAAGGACAAGGACTGAGGAGCTCTCACAGGACGGGAGGAAAATGAGACTAAAAAATAGAATAATCTTTGTTTCTGTCAGTATCCCTTGCGTCCAGCACTGTGGGTCTGGCCGGTCAGGTAGTCCACACAGAAACCACCGAGGTGACGCTGCTTGGCGACGGCATCATGGGGTTTGGCCTGCAACTGCAGGGAGGAGTGTTCGCCACGGAAACGCTGTCATCCCCACCGCTCATTGCCTACATCGACCCCGACAGCCCCGCTGAGAGGTAAACACACTGACACGGCTATGATGGCTTTAAAAAAATGTAGAGAAAACATTCTTTTGTCCTTTCTTCTCAGATTTGAACTTTTTCCCCCTAATTTTCAGGTTTTTTTGGTGAAATTTGGAAATATTTAATATTTTGTCTTTATTGATAATCACGGTGACATATATATAATTTTTATTTTCTATATCGCAGCTTTGCATTTTTTCTTTGCAGCACCAGTTCAAAATGCCATTACCTTATGGCCTTTTGTACAGACTCTACAGTATTGTAAGGAGAGCTCCAGTGATCAGATATTTGTGTATATATGTGTAGGTGTGGCATCCTGCAGATTGGTGACAGGATCTTATCCATAAACGGCGTTCCAACCGAAGATTCGACCCTTGAAGAAACCAATCAGCTGCTCAGAGACTCGTCCATCACTGCTCAGCTCACACTGGAAATTGAGTTCGATGTAGCTGGTAAAAAAAAAAAATCATTTTATCAGAATTGTGTTTTCATGCTTCTGATCAGCACTGAAAACTGTGCTTGTTGATGAATGTCTGTCTGCTGGGCAAAGACATCTGTTTTCTGTGTCGTCGTGTTTTGGCTGACTGACTGCCAGTCTGTGTTTGGTTCTGCTTCTCTGTAATTTGTCAGACTCTTTGTGGATGTAACGTACTCCAGCTGGTGTAAATAACCACCTACGCCTGAGTTTAATAGAACGACACAACAAGCTGTCAGTAGTGACTCACAGGCATATTGTATGATTTGTAGCTGCAGGACGGTTAACTGTATGAGATGTCATTTACAGGACAGTCAGAGTCACTATTTAACCAAAAGAAGACTCACTTCCTGAAAGCATCATAACTGAAGTCAGTCCAAGGGGACATCTTCCAAAACCGGCAAGGAGCCAAATACTACAATCATTTATTTTACAAATCTCTATAATGTTATCATCTATGCTGATTGATTTTATGGAAAGTGAGTAATAGATAATCTTTACACAGGATAATTCAACAAGAACAGATCAATTTAGCTTTTTTTAATAATTAGAAGATCATCTGGATTTTCAGTTTTAACATGAGTTCTTAACAGTGCTTTGGATATTCGGAATAAAGGGACCAAGCAGTGGATGTATGTTTATGAACATGCTCATAGCCAGTTATAAACAAAGGCTTATGTAAAAGATTAACTCCCAATTTATTTTGTGATGTCCAGTCTACTGTACTGAACGGTAGCGAAGAAGCGATATAGCTGTGCGTCATCTAATAATGGTGAAGTTAAATGTTACGTCACCTACTGTCAGCATCTACGGCCAGTGTGAATCTGTAGCAGTCTTTTTTTGTCTCTATCAGTCAGTGTTGATATTAACAATTAATAATCTCAATACTTCACTTAATAAATTAATAAAATGCACAAATGGACAGCACAAAAGACTTCCTGAACATTCTTAACATAATAGCTACAAAACAGACAGATGTCATCACAAATGGTGCATTAAAGATTTTTGACTTGCAGGAAAAGGTTTTATGTATGATCACCTCTAAGTTTTGAACTTTGATCTTCTATAAACATTTGAGAGCATGATGTGTCCTCTAAGTTATGTAGAATCAGGTTTAATACATGGACAGCTAACATATACGTCGTACCTATGAACTCACTTTGTGATTAATCATTGACTGTTATTGAAATTGTTTTCCACATGTCTGCTGAGGTCTCTGAGCAAAAAATATTTCTATTTCTTCCTGTATTTATAACCGTTAAACCAAGTGTGAGTAAGATTGAAACACTGCCAGCCAGGACTGTATACAGAGCATATGATTAAAGCCTCGAACAGAAGCTTAACCACCTGATTCTGACTGAGAAGATGTTGAGCAGAAAGCTTTTATTCCTCTTCTGATGTATTTCACAGTAAATTAAACATTTCTACAGCTGAAATGTCTCCATCTTTCTGCACAGAGTCAGTCATCCCCAGTTCAGGGACGTTCCACGTAAAGCTCCCAAAGAAACCAGGAGTGGAACTGGGAATCACCATCAGCTGTAAGTAAAGAGAAACGACTACGCAAACACGTACACGAATGTGAGGTCGCTACAGTGGATGGTTTAGATAGAGTTTATTAGTAACACAGCTCTGTGTGTTAATTATTGATTAAGAAAGAGTGCCAATGCCAAAACAAGCAACTAGAATATTATAAAAGTCTTTTTATTGTCAGTGACAGTAGTTTTATTTTTTATTAAATGATTTAATTTGGTGTTTCATCATGTTTACACATCGGGGAAATTAAATTTTCATTCTGAAAGACGGATTTCATCAGACCAGATCCAGCCCGACCTCCTCTTGGGTGTCACTTCAATATTACATTTCCTGCTTTGATTTTACTTTTCCCCTTTAACATTTAATCGTTACTTCTGGTTGTAGTGGTGTAAACAGGTTTAATTATTTACAGTTTTCTGTTTCATCTCCAACTCGTTTCTTTGTGTGTCTGCAGCTCCGTCCAACAGGAAACCAGGTGATCCTTTGATCATCTCGGACATCAAAAAAGGCAGCGTCGCACACAGGTGACACAAACTATGGCTAAACTAACTCTAATCCAGCCTTAAACCTAACCTAGGCTGAACTCTACACACAGTATGTGAGGCTAAAATAAAACAGTGTCAGCTGTGTTAAACCTCAGACTGCCGCCTGTACGTGTTTGGTTAATTAGGCTAACGGTCCAGGCCTGTGCATGTCGTGGTTTGTAGGTCATGTGTTTTGGACTGTGAAGCAGAATATGAGCTAAAGGGCTTCTGCTGGCAGGTAGCATCTGTTTACTCTGCAGGACTTTTAGAAACAGGAAGCAGAGGACTAGTTATAGACCTTCATACGGAAAAGAAAGTGCCAGCGGTTTTGCAAGATTTTGGACCAATTTCAGAGGATATCTTCCAGCTTCGATGTCCTTTACAAATAAATAACAATAAACGCATCGAAAATAGGGACAAAAATGAATTAAAGAACTTGCATGAGTATCATCAGGATTTACCATTTCAGGACTGAAGTTGCATTTAGTACAAAGGAACTGATATTAGGTAAAATGATGGGGATTCATTTTCCCAAAATGTAAACAAATAAAGCCTAAAAAACTGGTTTAAGTTGTACCTCATGGTTTAAACCCAAAGCAATATCTTAGCTCCTGTTTCATGTACAAGTTAACATATCTTCATGTAAAATTTGTAAGGTTATATTTCATATGTTGAAGAACTGATATTAATGCAAAATTCCATCCTGTCCATAAAGCAGATGCACTGCAGTCACGATTATGATAATATGACATAATAACCATCTCAGCTGACTTCTTTATTAAACTTGTTCCTCTAATTTACCTGAATGTGTTTTCAGGACAGGGACATTGGAGCTGGGAGACAAGCTGCTGGCCATTGATAACATCCGTGTGGAGAACTGCTCCATGGAGGAAGCTGTTCAGATCCTCCAGCAGTGTGAGGAGCTCGTCAAACTGAAGATCCGCAAAGATGAAGACAACTCTGGTATCGCTTTTAAGTCTATTCCCCAAAAGCAAGAGGCCGAGTGATAAACCAGCTTTCAGGGATGCCCACAGTATCATTAATCCTCCTTAAAAAGAACCTCTAGAGTTGTTCCGTGGTGACCTACTTGCCAACTTTAATAAGCTGTGGGACCTTTCCAAATTCTTCTCAAAAGATCATATTTAAAGAGCTTTAGCAACACCAACAGTCACACCTAAATCCTTTTGAATAAGTGAAAAGACAGTTAAAATCATGTACTTAAAAGCATGTAAGAGCCAAACTGGTGCTCATAAAATCTTCACTAATCTTCTGACAATCCTGAGATCTTTAGCATCTTTATGACAGTTTTATTGTACTTTAGAGAGTCCTGATGGGGTCCTAAACTCTCTAGAAGGCAATCAATAGCTGATTTGAAATCATTTGTCTTGTATCATTTTAAGTCAAACTTAAAACCTCTTTAAACATGAAATCTAATCATAACTTGATCACAACCTAACTGTCAGGAGGACTAGAAACTAATCCATTATTCTTGAAATCTTCTTTCGTTCTCAAAAACATTTAGGATCTTGTTGGTGATCTTCAGGATGGCCAAATTCTTTCAAACCTTATCAGTGACTCTAAGGGACCAGCACAATCTTAAGTATCTTCAACACCAACTAGAACATCCCTGAATCCTTCAGGACCCCATTCATATTCTCTAAATCTACTCGATCATCCATAAGGACGAACAGAAATTTCCTAAGGTACTACTAGAACTACTACTACTAGATGTAGAGCCGGATCGTCAACAGTCCTAAAGGACGACTGGAAAGCAAACAGTTTGCTTGAAATCTTTTTCAACAATCCTCTGAATGCTGTAAATATTCTTGAGGACGTTTTAGTGGTCTTGACGATGCCATCAACTTCTCAAGGACTGTCAAGTGTCTTACCAGGGTGGCTCTTCTTTTCAAAACTAACTCAAACATTGCTGAATACTTTGACCTTGATTGAGGATTTCACTAAACTTATGGCAGACCCTGGACCTTGATAACCTTTAGAACATTTTAATGGCGATATAGATCCAAGTCAAGGTTTTCTAAATGTCCTCAGCCGCTCTTAAGGGTACACAGGGCCCTTAAGTCCCTGAAAACCTACTCAAGGTTTAAAGGAGGTGTCTAATGCTACTTTCAGGACAAACGTTGCACTTCTGGCCTAGTTTTAGCGTGTTTTAGTCTGTGTCACCACATCATCCCTTCCCATGCCATCTTCTCCTGATCATCTGTTCACCACTGACCTTATGTGGAATTGATCTTTATTGAATGTTTCAGATGAACAGGAGGTGTCTGGCAGCATCATTTACACAGTGGAGCTTCAACGCTATGGTGGTCCGCTGGGAATCACCATCTCAGGCACCGAGGAGCCCTTCGACCCCATCATCATCTCCTCTCTGAGCAAGGGGGGGCTGGCAGAGAGGTGCACACACATGAACTCTAATTACAGTACATAAAAAATAAATTACAGGTCACACCTGTAGAAAACATGTCAAGTTTGTAGATTATTTAATCACTTAATCAGTACATCTAGTTTTTTGTTCTTTTCAGCTATTTGGAGGATCGCTTTTATTCACTATAAAGTGCCATAAATAGATGTTTATTATTATTATTATTATTATTATCATTAGTGCAGGCTTCATTGTCTTTAGTAGTTCCCTGCTGGTGTTATGTATGATTCTGGATTAGTATTAAATACATTCTGTGCTTAATACAGCATTTTATTTACAGAAACTCAGACACTAAGAAGCTTAGAACCAGGGTTGTTTGTGTAAACGCCATCTTTATGTCAAAGGTCGTAAACAGAGGAAATACTAAAGCTGGCTGCCTAAATCTGAGGGATTATGTTAAATGATGTATAAAATAAGAAATACAGTATCAGCGCTGGCCATCTAAATGGTCTCACTATAAACAATTAAGGAAATATTAAATAAGAAAAAGATTTTTCATCTTTCTAAAAATAACATCAGTGACTGGAGGAATGAAATATGGAGTGAAACCGTGACAGACATGATAAGCTTAGGATGCCAGATGAAGTGGAGAGTGTCGCCCTCTGCTGTTTAAAAATAATTATTTTCCTCATCATTAATTGGGTTTTCACCTCTTTTCCTACAGAAATGATTCTCATTTCTATTTTGTGTATAAGTATATTTGTGTTTCCCTGTAGACTGTTAACTCAGTTCCAGTCTTCTTTAAAGTCTTGTCAAGTATGATTTTTGAGTTGCTGAACCCTGAGTGTATATTTCTCTGTGTTTTGGTGTTGTTTACAGGACTGGTGCGATCCATGTAGGCGACCGTATTCTTGCGATCAACAGCAGCAGCCTGAAGGGGAAACCTCTGAGTGAAGCCATCAGTCTGCTGCAGCAGGCGGGCGAGACGGTCACGTTGAAGATCAAGAAGCAGGGAGAACGTATGTAGACGCTTTTTTCACACCATAATCACCGTTCATAATCACAAGCATCAACAGCAAATGCAAAATACAGGGATATGAGATTCACATCAAGAGCCAGGCTCGTGTAGTGTGTCTCATACAGCTTACTTAACCAGTAACAATCACTCAGTAGCCTTTATAAACTATTAATAAAGCAGAATAATTCACAACCACCTGTTTCACCAGACATTTAATTGTAACAAATATGTCCTGATATAAAAGCAAAATAATAACTTATAAGTTTTGTTCTTGCACACAAGCAGCCCACAGACTGTTTTCTAGGCCTGATCTTACAGCAGCTGTGTGGGAGTTTTCATTTTAAACAGAAAGAAAAGTAAAAGCTTTTTGATCGTGTAGTTACCTGTACCAAACTGCCAAGCCTTCTGCTGTAAAACCGGCTGCACATGAAAAGGAAACCTCCTTTTACAGCTCCATGGCTTTAAGATGGCCTCAGAGAGACACATTGTGCAGTGGCTGAATGCATCGTTCCACTTCAGCGACTTTCTGAAGCCTCTGTTCCCCCTCTGTGACTCAAATGATTCAAACATCAAAATATCAGTACCAGTTATGATCTTTGAAAAAAGAAATTGACAACCCAGTCTCCCTCCTCGGCATCAACTTTCCTTTTTATTGCTTTGTGTTTTATCCAGCTTGAAGTTGGCAGTGGTGTGGATGTTAAATCGAACAGTCAGACTTTAAGCTTTAATTCAGGCTGTTTGACAAAGTTAAACATTAACTGTTGAAGAATTAGAACCATTTTTATAAACAGTCCTCCACAGAGCACATGTTGAATATAATTTACCGTAATTTAAAGATTTCATTAGGGAAGTTCTATAACCTGCACTTTTATGCCATCGCTGCTGTTAACACATCATGGAGCGGTTTGAATGATGGTTGTTATTTGTACAGGTCATTAAGTGGCTCCATAGTTTGGTGGTGCAAACTAGCACCCAACAAGCGAAAAGTCCCCTTTTCAGTCCCTTCTGTTCTGTCTGGAAGGGAATAAAGCTCCCGAATCAAAGATGCAGAGCTACCCATAACACTGTGGCGACCCCTTGTGGTAGGGGAAGAGTTAAACGTACAGCTCATTAAAGGGACGGGACACAGTGTCACTTCCAGTGGAGTGACAGATTTACACATTTATATTCACGAACGCACATTGGCGGTTTGACAAACGTACTCCGTCTGTCTGCAGTGTCAAGCCCAAAGTCTTGCGTGATTGGTTCAGGTCTGGGGCCAGGAGTGGGGCCTAACCTGGAGAACCAGGATGGGGAGGAGGAGCCGGTTGTCATGGTTGCACCTCCTACAAGCCAGAGAGCGTTCAGCACACTTCCGTCCGTGGACAGCGCTGTGGAGTCCTGGGATGGATCCAACATGGACAGCAGCTTCACCATCCCAGGTAGGGACCGACCTCTGACCTCTGCTGACCTCGTTAATGCCTCAGTAATGAAACACTTCTCCTTTGCTGGTGTGTGTAGCTCCTACTTTTCAGTCGTCACTGTACAGTTTCCACGAGTGGCGCAGCGCCAAGACAAGCAACAGCCAATCATCATCTTCCACTCGCCAGAGAGCCAATCCGCTGTCGGATCTGGGTCTGAATGACGATGATTGGGACCGCCCACCTCTCGGAGGGTGAGAGACTGAGTGAACGGCACAGTGAAAAACATAAAAGCTTGAGTAAAGAAAACTGTAATAACCTTTGTTATATAACAGACAGTATTCAACTGTTCCAGGTTTAATCAAGCTGTTTTCAGGGCTTAAAGTACTTTAATCAACACAATTATTCAAAACTGTTACAGAGGAGGGAGAAGGATTAATATGGTTTTCATACTAGTTTTGAGCAGCCACTTATGCCACATAGTGGTATGTGATTTCCAAATTTACTCAGAATGCAATTTTTCAAGTTTCAAGTCCCATGAATTATCAGATACAGATGAAATGCTGAGGGTACAGATACTCGATTCTCCTCCTCTACATCACAAACTGGTGCAGTTCACTGAAACTATGACACTGATGCTCAAACTGTGTGATAAGATCAGTCTAAACAAACTGAGCTTGCCTAGTATGTGCATACCCTTAAACCCAGAAGCACATCAGAAGAGAAGCCTGAAGATGATGTGCACGGATACATTTTGCAGCATATCTTTTGTAGCTGTTAGCATTCCTCATCCAGAACAATGGAGTATGTAGCGCTGAGCTAACAGCAATAACAGTAGTGTGTCTTTCTGCAGAGGCTGTAATCTGCCCAGCGGTCTAATCTCTGACAGCAGGTACCACAGTGACCTTTGACCTTTAACCCTTCACACACAGTCTTCTGTGACACCCAGTAACCTCCTGCAGATACCCTCACTTGGTGACCTTTAACCCCCGCCACACCGATATCAATACCTGGTGGATGTGTATGTCATCACTGCCCATGCCCCATCCTGTTAAAAAAACACTCTCCAGCATGACCACTAGCTTCCTGCGTGCGTGTGTGTGTGTGTGTGTGTACCTATCGTGCTGACTGGTTGACCTGTTACCTTTCCCTCTCAGGTTTAATGTGGGACACGATGGGACAGAACCAGACCAGGAGGAGAACTTCTGGTCTCAGGCTCTGGAGGACTTGGAGACCTGTGGACAGAGCGGCATCCTCAGAGAGCTGGAGGTGAGGAACGCCACAAAAACTACTATAGTGAGAAGTGTTAGCAGTAGAAGAAGTATTTACAGTAAGAGTCGAGTATTAGCAGGAGTAAGGCTTCTGAAATTTTTATTCAGCAAATGAAGAATTCTCCGATGCTAATGCCTTTCTGCATTGCCCTCTGGTGTATGGATACCAGCACCTACACTGTAAAGTTTGATAGGCTGGTATCTAATTTTTTAACCTTCTGGAGTTGAGTTTATTTGTTTTGTGATTTTACTTTCAATAAAATCTCACATGTATGTCTTTACAGTTATTTTTCATTTTGACATACTGTATTAACACAATTGACCTAAAATCACACACACACACACAAAATCAGAGTTGCAACAGTTAGATTTTATTAGTGTGAAAACCACAAACATTGAAATGCAAATATAAATTGTAAATTTCAAATTGTACAAATGTAGTAGTTATTTACATTAAATTCCTGTCTACCATAAGACAGGGGAGCACATCACAGGCCTGACACCTTGAAGGTGTAGAAACTCCTCCTGTGGATCACCAGGAGACAGCGTTTAGGCTGCAGTCTGCCATTGGTGGATTGTTGACTGGCATCTGTTCAGTAGTCGTCTCAATGTTATGACACACAAAACAAAAAAAAAAAACTACCGTACACACTAAGAACTAGTGGTGCAACGGATCACGGTTGATCCGTAATCCAAACCAATCCCACTCCACATTTCGGCACGCACGTGATCCGAAGATTCGAAAAAGAAGGAAAAAAAGTATGTGTATGGTGCGTGTGGTCAGTCTGTCAAGCGATAGTTATAGCCAGCGCTAGCGGTCCAAGTGGAGGAGCAGAGGAGTTTGAGGCATTTAAGCAGCCCTTTGCTGCCCAATCTGACCGGGCTAAAGCTATTGGGGTGTTTAGCTGCAGACGGGAGGCCGTATTCCCTTGTGCAAAACAAGGGGTTTAAACTATGATGAACGTGCTTGAGCCACGCTATGATATCCCGTTGCGCGTCCACTTCAGTGACAAGATTGTACCCAGGCATGTATGAGCAGGAAAAGTTGAAAGTTATGGCTGAACTGTCCCAGGCATCTTCTCTTGCTCCAACTACAAATGGGTCGACCTCCAGGGCAACGGAAAGCCATGTGACCGTGACCGCTCATTATATCACAGCGGAGTGGTAGATACAAAGCCCTGTACTGCCCTATATTGCACCTTAATTTGTTTTTATATAATTCCGTGGAATGAGTCTTGAGTTGAATGTTTTTAATAGGCAAAAAATACTTAAATAAGTTAATAAGTAAATGTTAAAATTTAATTTCTTTTTTTCTTTTTTTGCTGATCCGAAAATTGATCCGATCCGTGACTTAAAACCGTGATCTGATCTGAACCGTGAGATTTTTGATCCGTTGCACCACTACTAAGAACACAGTCCAAACACACTAAATGTCACAAATCTCTCTGATAGAACTGTCACTGTCCTTAGAAAGTCCCATTTTTATAGCTTCTTCCTGCACTAAACATGAAGACAGTTTTGAGGAAGTATGGCATAAAATATTTATCATAACTGCTGTTTTACTTTGCTGATCAACACAATTTAAAAACTGGTTTGTAGGTTAAAGTCCACAATTTCAACACAATTTGAAAAAGACGCTCAACATAAGTGAACTTTTTACAGTCTTCATTAAGCATTTTTTAAAAACAGATAAACTTTTTGTCACCCATACACCACATTGTCACAAGTATTTTTTTTTACATTTGGACAGCAAGCCAGATCAAGTCTCGCCGCTTGGCTTTGGAGAAGTGGTCTATACTTCTGTAATAAACAGTTGTAGCATTCCTATGCCCAATACACCGCACTGTTACAGGATGACATTGACATTTTGATCTGAACAGCAACACAGGCTGGAAGTCATTAATCTCAGTTGTGATCGTCTGTAATGAGCTCAACTATAATGCTCTTCTTATCCACAGAAACACTTAAAAACCACATCACACATCCACAAGAATGAAGACAAACCAAATATAACTGAAATATTGATCACTTTAATTATTGAACTGGACAAAAACTGTTAACACAAATAATCATGTAGTGATGTGAACACTGATGAGAGGCTTATTGTTCAGCCCTGAGGACTGACAGTCAAAGTTTAGTCATATTTGTCCAATTCATGCTGAAAGAACTACATGTTTATACCTTCTCTGGCACACAGAAGTAAAAAAGAGACTCCTTCTCTTCCAGGAGTCTGGAAAGGAGACACACCTCCTCACTCTGGTATTCCCCATCCTCCCTCCCCTGTACTAACTCCTCCTGTCCTCCTCTTCTTCTGTCTCCTCTAACTGGACCTCCAGCGTTGTCAAACATCTGACATGTTTGCTGGTTTTGAATGTGACTCTAACTGCATTCTAACAGCAGACCATGGTGACGTCATTGTGACATCTTAGTGACATCACCCAGCTTCCAAACACAGTCACATGGCAGAGTCATGTTGTTGCACCAGGCATGGCAGTTTGAGCAAGGCATGCTTGGAGAGCTTGCGCAAGGCCTCATGGGTAGTTGTTTTTTTTTTTTGCCAGTCATGAAGCAGATCTGTCAGTCATGCATGCGTTTGATGAGTTCTTGATTCTGATTGGCTGAAGTGGGCATCGGTTGGGAAGCTTAGCCATAAAAAAAAGGGTGTGATGTGGAAAATAAGCACAATCATCAAACATTGACAGTCAGAGAGTTGAAATCCCCTGGGTGAGCTCAAAAGTAGAATCTATCTGTAGAGGTCTGTACTACGAAGCAGGATTTATGATTAGCCAGCTAACTTCAGGTTGAATGCTGAGCTTTCAGAGTTCATGTCTTATTAGATCGGCTATGCTTGAGATAAGAGACCTGCATGTACAAAGCCTTAGTCTACTGATCAATCAGTATTGATTCTTAGAAGATCCCTCAGACCTTGATGACTAGTATGTAGTTTTTCTTTCCCTGAAAATGAGCAGTAAGAAAAATGGAAAACTGCCATTTTAGCAATTTTATTTTCCTATAAGCCTTAAATAGAGTAATATACAGCCACTTACCAGCCACTTTATTAGGTATACCTTTTCAGCTGCTTGTTAAAGCAATTAGCTAATCACCCAATCAAATACCAGCAACATGGTGCATTTTTACATGTCATCAAGATGACATTAAGAAGTTCCAACTTGGACTTCAAAGAATTAAGATAGTTCTGCAACCAGGTAATAGCAAGGTTTACCTAAAAAAAAAAGAAAAAAAATGTGGCTGGTGTGTGTTTATTATAGAGAGATCATCAGCTCCTGATAGGTGTTGTCTTACTGCTAGGTTAGAAAATTCCACAGTTAATAAATATTAAAATGAAATCTAAAAGCACTGGAAAACATAATGACACACTGGGAATATAAACAGTGTATGCTAAAAAAAACTCCCCCAAACAGTTTACTGTATAGACCTGAATGGTACCAATAACCACCTTTGTGTGGCTGCTTGCTGATATCAGAGTAAGTAAAGCCAGATTTTCTTGTTATGTTGAACCTGCTTCATATTACAGGCCATTAAACTGTACAAAACAATAGATCCTGTCAGTAAATATGAGTTAAAACAGTCAATGGTGACAACAGTTGAGCCTGCTCAAAAACAGCAGCAGATCCTAGGAATGGAAATTGAGAAACATCAGTAGAGGCACAGTAAATAATAGTGATGTATGATTAGAAAGAGGTCCTTTCCTGCCACCTGGGTTCAAAGGCAGCAATCTTTAATTACCATGTTTGCTATTTATCTGGTTCTGATTGGATGTTTGCGCTTGCTGTTCTCTGATTGACTCTCATAGGCTACCATCATGTCAGGCTCCACCCTCAGTCTAAACCATGATCCCACCCCTCTGCGGAGCACACTGGGACGCCAGGCGAGTTTCCAGGAGCGCAGCAACTCCAGACCACAAGTACATGCCGCTGACCTTTAACCTCTCTCTGTGATATGTGTTATTTTGTGAAATATTGATTTTGAAGACAACTTTCTCGTGATTGTTCTCAGGTGACTCCTCGATCCAACACCTTGCCCTCTGACCCTCAGCGCCGAGCCTTTGCCATGAGGAAGATGAGACAGGAAGTAAATGACATCCTAAACCAGAACCCTGTGGAACTTCACAAGGTAATGTTTGGCCTGCGTTTGCTCTCTTTAGGGAGGTTCACAAACCCTGTGATCCTTATTAACTGACAGGTGTGTTTTTGTACTCATAGCTCACTCTGGAGAAGGCGACAGACCTGGAGGATTTTGGTTTCAGCGTTTCTGATGGATTGCTGGACCGCGGCGTCTATGTTAATAACATCCGACCCGGAGGCCCAGCTGAACGGGGTGGTCTCAAAGCCTATGACCGAATACTACAGGTACAAAAATATACCAGTTTCACTAATCTCTCCACAGCCTTCAACTCTTCATTTCTTGGTTTAAATTAAGATTTCCTTTTTCTTACAGATTAACCATGTGCGGACCAGGGACTTTGACTGCTGCCTTGTAGTTCCCCTGATTGCAGAGTCTCCAAACCGCTTGGAGCTTGTAATCAGCCGAAACCCTTCATCCTCTTCCTCCTCTACCCTGATGGCCAATCACACCGATGGCACAACCAACAGCAGCCACCCCTCTCAGCCAGTTGGCAGTGACCTGGGACCCTCAGAGCTCTCTGTTGGCCAAGGAGAGGACAGTGGTCCAATCAAGTGGAGCCAACCAGGAGATGGCTTTGGGGCAGGGATTGGGATGGGGCAGGTTACAAACAATTCCTTATAGCAGACAAAAATTATGTCACACTACATTCAACCACACCAGACTGGAGAGATCGTGAGGAAAAAGGGGACAACAAAGTTGAATCAAACTGATTTAAAACTGGTTTAAACTGGCTCGGAGAAGACCGCCCATGGTGCTACACACACCCTCTGGATGACCTTTGACTATTATAGTTTGACCCTTGAACTGCTAAAGCAGCCTGAAAGCACAGTGATGGACTGGAGCAACTCCACACCTTTTAACCTGAACCAGTTCTGTATACTGGTATTACTAGTGTCTGGAACCAGAATCCTATTAGAGCCACAACTGGGGCTACTGGCCTACCTGGTCTAAGATTAATAGTTATTGGTCCTTCTAGCCCAGAGCCAGTGCTACTGGTTCTACTGAAGCCACAACTACAGCCAATAGTCTTAACGGTCTACAAGCCGAGAAATATATCCCTATGAAGTCAGTGCCACAGCCAATGGTCTTACTCTTTTAAGATTGATGGTTACTGGTTCTAGAAGCCTAGAATTCTAGGTTGAAGACACATGGGTTCTGTAATTATGGTTCCAGGTTCCACCAAAGTCCTACTAAACAAGTACCTGAGCCAATAGTCTTAGCATACCAAGACACACAGGTACTGGTCTTAGTGGGATCAGGACAATGGCTATTGTTTCTAGTGAAACCAGAGGCAAATCTAGTTGTCTTACTGGTCAAAGCATGGTTCATGTTTGTGGTCTCACTGGCCAAGGAACTATGGATACTGCGCCATTGCCATGGCCAGTGCTTGGTGAAGTCCATCCTGGATCCTGGGCCTACTAGAACCAGATTTGTGGCATTTGGCCGAGATCCACAGCAGCACAAAGACTGATGGGACACTAGTCCAGATACCGAAACCTGCTGATGGGCATAACAGTTGCCAAGGAGACTAGGGATGCTCTGATCAGTGTCTACATCTGATGATATTACTGAACATATACTGATTACTAAATCCTTATGCTTGTGTATAAGAAAGCCTTATGAAAGTCTTCTATTTGATATTTAACCAGCTGGAATAACTGGTCCTCAGTACACTAAAAATTTGATTGTTCAGAATGCAGAAGACGGTAAGCCTGAATTTACTGAAGGTGTAACTTTTCCAAGTAGTTATGCTTGACATTGGAAGGTTGATGGAAAGGTAGTTTTAGACACTGCCCCACATAGAATAAAAGAAAGAAGATTTCGAACAAGAAGGTACAGATCCCACAAGAAACTGGTACCAGAAGGTTGTTTTAAGAGATGAGAATAAAAATGGTTCTGGTTAACTGCAGGTTTTGAAGAAAGGGTATAAGTGGAAATGACGATAGAGTTCGAGCTCAAAAATGGTTGGGATTAGGTGAGTTTTGGCAAGTATACAAGGTTGGATTCATAAGGTTATGATGAGATGTACCTCCTTAAAATAAATGCTCAACATGACATGGAAACCTGAAGAGATATCCAAATTAAACAGTACAAAAGGAAAGACCCCCTTAGCTAGTTCGTCTGGCAACCCAGAGATTTATTCCTGTGGGCATTACCAGGTGTAGTTTTTCATGATAACCAGATAAAATTCAGACACTAAGGCTCAGTAATTTGGTTTAAATATTTGGCAGAGGTTGACAGACAGCTTTGAGGGGTTTTAATATTGTTGCATTCTTATTTAGCATTCTATTGGAATAATAATAACTAGCACTTAGTCAAGTTCGATTATGCACTTTACTGAACTAAAACTGTACAAGGTTTGGCTTGTACTTTGGCTCCACTGTTGAACGGCTGCTATATTTTATGTAACCTGCTCTCTTATCACTTTAATTTCCTGAATTCTCCATAAATTACAACTGACAGTCCTAATATTTTATGATGCCATTCACAAAATTTACATTATTACTAACCATTTCTGCTATACAGATGAATAATATGAGAAAAGTTAGCATTTGAGCAGAAATGTTGGTCTCTGGAGGAACACTGTTTTAAAGTTTTAAACCAGAGCTGGACATTGAAACATGATACTGGTTTTTACTGAGCAGGAAAACCTGCAGCTGCATATATATTTATGATGTTTGTTGCGCCTCAGCTTGAAGCTAGTGAAAAGACAAAGATAAGGTGCTTTCGGACCAGAGAAATTTTTATTGGTCTTGTTAAACAAGCCTTTGTTAGTTTTTTAGATACACATCATATGCATGATTGGAGAAGCGGTAGCCATCACTAAAGTTCTAAAAGAAATTTGAGTAGGGTTAGAAAGGAATACTAAAAATTTGACAGCACACAACCCAAAACATTTCAACACATAAATCACTGTGGTAAAGAGTTTAGGTTAAAATTTGCAGAAGGTAATTACAAAAAAGTACATTTAAAAAGCCTGCATAAAAATGGGTGTAACATCAGCTGAGTATATAAAACTCTTAGCGATTAAAAAATGGAGCAAAGCAAAGAGAAATAATTTTACCTTGGCTCTATGTAAGGGCAAGGTAATTAGATTTTTCATGTACACTTAATGCTATTCAGCTTTTACATCAATTCTGCATATCTATGCTCCAGGAGGAGGCCATGAGAAACTGGGACTGGTGTGGAGCTCTGCACCAATGAGCTTATAAAGAGATAAAAATAATATTGAGCAGAACTTATTTCAGCTTATTGGTGCAGCCCTCCAAAACAGTCCCAGTTTAGCATGTGTCCCCTTGGGAAAATAAATTGTCCATCTTTGGTATGTAGGCAGTGTGAATAGAAAAGAATCTGCAAACCATGTTTAGCTTAGTATATCTGGAAAGTGTATTTTGGAAAGCTTTCGGACCAAAAAGCATCAAAGATGTATATCTTTGATGCTTTTTGGTCCGAAAGTGCCTATAGTCCATATCTTCTTAGGAATTTTGGAATGCATTGCCTCCCATTAAAAGTAACAGTTTGAAATATTTTGTGCAAAACCATCTATTAATTGCTACTTCCTATAAACGTGTTTCTTAATATTGTAGTTTCTAATTTAAATTTTTGGCAAGCTAAGTTAAAACAAAAAACACAAAAAAGGAACCTCTGCAACATTGAGCACACTCCATCTGCTAAGGGAGGACATGTGGTAGGATCCAAAGCTCCAGAACAGCTACTTTATATGCTTTAATATGTCAACTAGAGAAATGTGTTTATATATGATATAAAGGACATTTTCTTTATGTTTTTTTAAAATAATTATTTGTGAATTTTACCTTTAGAAAAAAAATCTGTGCATTTTCACTAATGATCAGCTGATACTGATCGGAGCATCCTTGAAACGAAGGGTTTACTGTTAAAATTTTAGTTCTGTGCCATGGACGAGCTACAGGCTGGAAGAGTTATGATAACAACGCTGTCAATAATAATAATGATGA